AGAATAACACCATCGATTTTTTTACTTTTTTTTTACTTTTGTTGGATTTCTTGGCTATCAACCAGCGGCATGTGGCCAAGGTTATTAAGCCAATGGATCCTATTTATTCTATCAATCTATATAAGGTCATAAAGTTTTGTCTCCCTTAAAAAAGTGATTACTTTACTGATGATTCCTTCATCATCTGACAATATATTAATTAGTGTAAAATCTTTATTTTTAATTCTGAGGTAATTTTTGAGTGGTTGTCTGAGATTGTTGTATTGATTGCATACTGTAAAGATATGGTTCAGGGTAAGGTTGGTGTTGCAAGGTGGGCATTGTGGGGGAAATTTTTTTTCGATATAGGGAGTAAGGTGTGTTAGTCTTGAAGCGTTGACCCTAAGGCGGGCCAACACCACCTTCTGATTTTCCTGTGGGCTGTGTCCCACAGTTCTATGTTTTCTTTGATCTTGTTGGTGAGTTGGAGGTTGGTCCACTCACTTTGCCACAGGAGATGTATTTTTGCTTTTATAAGAGACACAAAACACCTGAGATCTGTACGAACTATGGTAGTGTCCAGATCGCCAGTTGACCCGGCTAGTTTGTCAGCCTGTTCATTGCCATGGATACCAGAGTGGCCTGGCACCCATATTAGCTTGATTGATTTGTTGGCACCATGTAACTTATGAATGATATTACCCAGCAATTCATTTTTAGTGGTTTCTAAGGATTTAATAGCTTTAAGTGAACTTAATGAATCAGAAAAAATAACTATTCTATCGTGGGTCGTCGATAGTGCAAAATCAATGGCTTTATCTATAGCAAAAAGTTCAGCAAGAAAGATCGATGTATGATTCGGCAGTCTGAACTTTAGTTCACATTCAGTCGACCATACACCCGCACCCACACAATCTTCTGTCTTGGAGCCGTCGGTATATATATGAAAAAAGTTTAGATGTTTTATAAGGATCTCTCTGAACCGCTGGCGTACCTCCACCTCCGGCGCCATGGCCTTGGCTGATGGAAGCCAGGCTTCCATGATAGAAAAATTGGGGGTTTCCCATGGCGCTATATTTGAATGAACCAGGGTATCGATGGTAGAGAGATCTATACCGACTTTCTCGACGAGGTCGTGGAGTCTCGTGGCAAAGGGCCTAGTGCCTCCATTGCCATTAGGGTGGCTTGGGTCTCGAGCCACCCTCGCGGCATAGCTCAGGGCTAACTGGCCGCGTCTGAGTCGGAGGGGAGGTACTCCTGACTCCACCTCAAGACGCTCGATCCGAGTACATTTCAGGGCTCCAACACACACACGCAAACAAGCATTCTGCACAACATCCAAACCTTTCAAACTTGTTCTCGATGCCGAGCCATACACGATTGACCCATAATCTACTTTAGACCTAACTAGGGCTTTATATACCATTAGCAAAGACTGTCTATCAGCTCCCCATTTATTACCAGAAATGCACTTTAATAAATTTAGTGCTTTTTGACATTTATTCTTTAACTGACCAATGTGGTCTTTCCAATTGAGTCTACTATCAAAAAGTAGACCAAGAAATCTAGCAGAATTTTGAATAGGTATTGGGTGGTTGTCTAGAGTTAGCCTGATGTTGGGCTTTTTCCTATGTGAAAAAATTACCCCAATACTCTTTCTAATGGAAAACTTAAAACCCCACTGGAGGCCCCAGTTATGAATCATATCCAGTGCCAATTGGATGCGATTTGCTGAGAACTCTGCATTATTGCTGGAATGCCATAATGCACAATCATCAGCGTACAGTGAGTATTTATGATTCCGAGGAGGAGCTGGTAAGATGGCATTTATCATACATAGAAATAATGTTGGTGACAAGACACTTCCTTGTGGGACCCCGTTTGCCTGGACAAAAATGTCCGAAAAAGTGACATTGTCAGAAAATAATTTGACAGAGAAAGTTCTGTCAGAAATGAAATTTTGAATAAAACAAGGCAAGTTTCCACGTAATCCAAAAGCATAAAGTTTTCTGAGTAGGCCATATCGCCATGTCATGTCGTAGGCTTTTTCTATGTCTAAAAATACTGAAATCAAAAAATCTTTCTTGGCAATGGCCTCTTGAATATGACTATCCAGCTTTACTAGTTGATCGAGAGTTTGGCGTCCCTTTCGGAAACCGCACTGCTCGTCAACTAGCAAATGACTGGAATTTAAAAAGTGCAATAGCCTACTGTTAACAATTCGTTCCATGACCTTGCATAAGCAACTTGTCAACGCAATTGGGCGGTAGGAGATGGCAAGTTTGGGATTACCCCCTCCTTTCAATATGGGAATGATGTGGGCGAAGTGCCATGAGTTTGGAAAAGTGTGGCTTTTCCAAATTTCATTGTACACTTCTAGCAACTTAATCATGTCACCATGATTAAGATGCTTTATCATCTCATATCGAATCTCATCGGGGCCTGGGGATGTTCCTCTACAGGCTTCTAGGGCTCGGACAAGCTCATCTATTGTAAGGTCTTTATTGTAATCAAAGTCATCTCCTGTGGCAAAGTGAATTGGTTGCAGCTCAGCCGCTTCCTTGATGGGCAGGAATGCAGGATGGTAGTTTGCTGAGCTGCTTGTATGAGAGAACTGCCTGGCGAGTGCATTAGCAATGTCTCTAGGTGAATCGATGTTATTTCCCTCGTCAATGATGTTTTTAATTTTGAAAGATGATTTTTTCTTGTTGATTTTATTGATTGTGGACCAAACCTCTGATATTTTTGTATTGCTATTGATTATAGAGACAAAGCTCCGCCAGGAGTCTCTTTTTGCTTGTCTTATTATTCTACGAGCCCTAGCTCTTGCTTGTTTGTAATTGCAAAAGTTCTCGTTTGTGATGTTATTTTTGAAAAGCCTGTAGGCCTTATTGCGTCGGCACAGCGCCCTGCGGCAATCTGGTGTCCACCATGGAACTCTATGCTTAACGCTATCTGTCGAAGTTTTAGGAATGGATAGCAAAGCTGCTTCTATAATCGAATTTTGAATGTTGTTTACTTTATCATCAATGGTTTCTCCAACTAGTTCGAGCTTGACGCTCCTTGTGAAGGCGACCCAGTCTGCTCTTTTTACGTTAAATTTAGGCGCTGAAGGCGTTCTCACTGTGTCGCATGAATATTTAATCAAAATAGGAAGGTGATCGCTTCCCAACGAGTCGTCAATGGTGTGCCACAGGCACTTAGCTGCTACTGATGAAGAGACCAGTGATAGGTCAATAAAGCTCAAATTACCGGTATTATCGTCCAGCCGTGTGGGACTATCATCGTTCAGAAGGACTAAATCAGACTCATTAATCAGCTTAACTACTTGCTCACCTCTACCATCCACCCGCAGGGAACCCCATAACGTATGATGAGCATTAAAATCACCTAAAATTACTTTATTTTGTGGCAGACATTCCTGAAGAGCAAAAAGCTCATCATAGATTATCACTGTATCAGGTGGACAATAAACTGAACATATAGCCAGATACGTGCCATTAATTTTTACTTTGCATGCGACAAACTCCAAAGTAGAATTAAAAGTCACTTCTGTAAAAGGGAGGTTTTGGTGGATGTACATGGCGACTCCGCCTCCACCCCTACCCTCACGGTCCTTCTGATACAGATGGTAGTTCCTCAGCGAAACAACCTCGTCAGAGACGAATTCTGTTAAATGGGTTTCTTGGAGAACTATAATATCGGGAGCATAGGACGAGGCTAATAATTTAAGGTCATTTACTTTAGATCTAATACTTCGACAGTTCCATTGTATAATGGTCGACGCGAAGATTACGTTTTATGGGGTTTGGAAGTGCCTTGTCCACCAGTTCGAATTTTCTTTTTATGGGAGGGAGGCGCCTCCTCTCCCTCGCTTCCCGGGGACCTCTCACGGGATGGTTTGGAGACAGAAGCCTCCATGTCCTGCACCTCCTGGCGAGGGAGACGACTGGCCGATTGCGATCTGCTTCTCTCTCGAGAAACCGATCGCGAGCCAGACGAAGTCCTCACAGGAGTAGCCCGGACGGGAAGGTGCGCTCCGGACTGTGATTCGGTATCATCCTCCTTTTGATGTTTATGCTGGGTTGATGCAGCCATTTGATCGACCAATTTAGTCAATTGATATACTTTAATGTTCAATTCTTTAACAGTTTGTTTGAGTTCGGCAATTTCCTTATCCTTAGCTGCAAGCTGTTGACTGACATCACTTGTACTATGGGTGTTGTTAGTTAGTGCTGCAGCATAGGAAGTATCAGGTTTGTGTGTCAAACTTTCAACTTTCCTCTTAGCTTCAGTATAACAAACTTCATGCTTTCTCATATATGCTAATGTCTCAGTCTCCTTCTTCAGGATGCTGTACTCGGCAGATCCTGATTGATGGGGACCTCCACAGTTAGCACATTTGGAAATCTGGCTAGTACAAGTGATGGTGTCATGGGCTTCAGCACATTTACGGCAAGTAAATTTAGTAGAGTCTTTATCAATACATCTTAATGAGGTGTGTCCGAATTTTTGGCATCACCATCGATATGCACAGCACTAGTATAAAATAAATTTTTCCCGCCAATTTAAATCAGGTAAGGTCAAAAGGTCTACTAATTGACTCCTTTGTGGCTAAGCACTAGCAGAACCATCTATGTGCAGAGACATTTCACATAAAATATAAAAAAATGAGCACAACATTGTCCCTTACTTTTACTCTCACTCTTCTGTTAAAGGGGAACTAACAATCGTTCATTACTTTTGCTAATTGACCTTAGTGTATATTTTGGTCTATGTAATTATTTCCATTGTTGAACCTGACACTGGTAACTTTAATCCATTTTGGCTAAATGTTGATCAAACAATGTGTTTTAATGTTACACATTCTTTGCTGATAGTAGTATTGTAGTAGTGCACACACGCACGCACACACACACACACGCACACACATATAACTCTCACACACAACTGGAGAGAAAAAAATGCATCATTATATAATGGTGCAATTACAGATACTCTGGAGAGAATTAAAAATGAAATAACTTTTGTTCTTTATTTTTTTTAGAATTTCATACAATCTCTTTTTTCTATAAAACAGGAATGTACAATGAAGTTTGTTGAAGATGAACACTATTAGGAAATACAAGAAACAGGTTACAACTGTTCATTAGACGTCATACAAAGAAGAGCTCACAATCACTTCATTATCAATATTACATTTAAACAATCAGCTTCTTCATTTGGGAAGGTAACATATACAGAACTTAATATACATATTCTTTCAGCACCAATTTTTTTTCTTCTTTTCTATATGAAAATTGTATATTATGCACACAAGAAAAGGATGGAAACAGAGACAAAGGAACACCAAGCCATTAATGGAAAATTTTACTTTCCAGGTATATGTAAAAGTTTGCTTTAATTCAAGTGCTCTTAAAATAAAAACATATTTCTTTTTCCAACAGTATCAAGATAATTGTGGAGTGAATTAATGTTGACACTAATACAATTGATACTAGTGAATATTATGTACATATATACAACTATGCTATATACATTACTTTCTTAGTTGTCACAGATGTTCTTGCTATCCCTATTTCATGGGTTGTTTCTTTCGGGAAACTCTGCATCCTAAAAATATGTATTTCTCTGAAAAGTTTTGGCTTGGAAATTGTGTATGGAGATATCATAAACATCACTGTTGATTTTTTACTTAATTATTGCACAGTGAACTTCATTTGGTGAAAAATACCATTATATATTATCTTATTTTTTTGTTGTCTATGGTGGACAGGCACACAGAAGAAAAAGTCCTCTGGCTTTGGAACTGTAGATCTTTTGTTGGCAAGGTCCTTAGACTCTGAATATCAATGGTAGCTTATAATGCTCCAACATAATTAATAATGTTTCATGATAACTTTGAGGGATTTGCAAAATGGAATTATATTTTCGTCACTTCTTTGGAAATGAAGGCCATAATTTGTATTTTTTAACAATTAATAATGTAACATAACACTATACAGCATGAAATCTAGTTATTTTGATTTAATTGGTGGTGATATTTATTCCCCTGTTAAATGAAAACTGTTAATTAACATTTTTTGACATTTGTACTCTAGTGATGATTTAATAAATAATGAGTACTTTATTCATACAATAATATACTGTCTATAAGAAATTCAATCTGTTTCGTAGTAAAATCATTTGCATAACTGATGGTAATTGACTTATTTTTTAAAGTTCCCTATAAATAATGTGTACTTTTCTTTTTTCTTTTTGGTGTTGTCATACAAAACAGTTAAACACTCTTTTGAACATAATTGCTACTTATAAAAGTTGCTTGTGGCAACTGTAATATATTCCTAAATTCAACTTTCAAAATATTTGCCAGAAAAAAGTTCACAAGATATAAATAGGTGATTGTCAGAATTCACATACATACAAACCCAATAAAAGGGAAACAAGATCTAAGAGTTATTTAATAGAACCCTCAATGGCCAGTGACCATGGGAACCAGATGCTGCTCAGGCTACCACAAAACCATGTAATACTGACAGTTGGTTTAGAAGTATAATTTCAGCTAGTGTTATAAGAGTTATACTGCATATAGCATGTATCCTAGAACTTCAAATACATGTAAAATTAACAGGAATGTTTATGATTTCCTTATCAATGTATTATTTAAAAACAGAGAGAATGTATACATATTTTGGGATCCAGTTTTTCTGAAGAAAATTATCCTCAAAATAGGGACAACTCAAGAATAAGACAATATAAAATTATACATGTTAGTGGTATTCAATTCATATATTTATGCAAAATACTCCTTTGTTTGGTATCAAATGTGGATTCTACCATCATATATTGATGAGAATTTAAATACATTCCATATAAAACTAGAATGATAAATACCACTACAGTAACATTTCTGGTATTTTAGTACTTTAATACAAAGTAAGTTTCATCACTCCACTTATCCTTCTCAGTAAAATAACACTTGACTGATGCGCAGTCCAGTTCAGTTCCAATCCCAGCACTCAGTCTTGCCAAAGTGTGAACTCCCAGTTTCAATTCTGGCATCCAAAACATGCACAGAAGTAGGTGTTAAATGTACAAATCAGATCTGTTGGTTCACACATCGGCAACACTGAGTGGTGAGCATGGAAGTGGAGGGTTCTGCAGGTGTATTTTCTCATTATTGAAAATTGCATTGATTAATAATGGTCCAAATGAAAACAGTAAAAGCTCCTTCAGATAAATCAAGATTTCTGATTTGCAAAACATCCTGGGTTATGGTAGTAAACTGAAAGGCCAACAGGAGTACCTATTTCTAAACAATAGTGTTCAGCATTTCTTTATAAAAAGGGAAGGTTTAATAGCAATGGACATAGCACTTTGTCAGGCACCATAACCATGTGTAATGAATACTCAAACAGCACTCTTTACATTTCCAGAGAGGTGATGTTATGGGGGGGAAGGGGCAACACTGCACCAACAAGTATTTGAACTGAAACAAAAATGAATGAATGGGAAAAAAAGGAACTGAATCTCAGTAGGATGAAATGTTCACTCCTTCTTCCTCAGTGCCTTGAAGGGACATCTTTCACAACACATATGGTGGGGAGCATTTACTGTGAGCACATGAAACATTTTATTTCACACATCAAAATCTGTAATAAAGAACTTCTTATAAAACCACAAACATATTAAGACATGGCATGGATCTCTTCTGTGACATTTACTGCATGGATACAATTAACAACGTGAGTTTAGGGTGCGAACATTAAAAATAAAAAGAATAAAAGGGAAGAAGATTTGATGATAGCCATTGATGTTCAAATATCAGACTGTCTGTGAAACCATTTCTAAAATCGCCACCTACCCTGAGCACTGCTAGTTTATACATGTAACAAATATAAGATAATGGTGGTGCTTTTTTTACACAGTTTTCCCCATTTTAAAAAAATTTCCCACACAACTCTGCCCTTAATCCACGTCAATAAATAAAACAAGAATCACATGAAAATGATAATGCATTTCACATGTGGAGAAGGAGAATGCACAGGAAATATTGGACCTGCAACAAACATTCATTATGTGATGATTTATCATGTGAATGAACCATCAAACTAGAGTGCCTTCCTAATGCCTCAGACTGGGATACAGTGAGAGAAACTAACAAGTCCCTTTCCTTGCCTCGTGTGCCTCTTAGTTCATAGCCGCTCCTCGGACTGAACGCGACGGAAAGAAAAAGCTAAAACATATCCCTGATTTCATTCATTAAAAAGAAAAAATCTCACCACAACAGAATGTATTTTTAAAATATATCACAAAATAATATAAATCTCAAGATAATTTGCCAGCTAAAATCTATCTAAATAAAAAAAAAAGAAAAAAAAAAACAGTACCTAATTATTAGCTATCATTCATGTCCCACTTCTTTTATCAACCTCGGCATATGACGGGAAATCTGCTATGTCAACGATTTCCTCCATTTTATATGATGGGTAAAGAGCGTTTTGCCGTGTTCTCCTGTTCACGCCCTTCGAGTAACCATTCCAGTGGTTACCTGCGATGCCCACAACATCATTAGCTTTCAAAATCATCTCATCTGATCTGTTGAGAAAATAGAAAAGTTCAATGAAATACACACAAACACATATGAACATATAAATGACCCCCCACCCCCCCAAAGCACAAGAAATTTGAGGCTTCCAACAGGGGTTCTAATCCACTGCCATATCATATAACAATTATATTCTATTGCACTGTATCATAACATCATACAGTATGACATAACCCATAATTGCTATCTGTATATCACAAAATCAATTATATTATACCACAATCCTCACCAAAAGGTCATCCTATAGAGCCACAGCCAAAAAATAAACAAAGAAAATACTATTCCTAAAACAATGACGAAATACTTACTTGCGTGGAGTGTGTGGGAATCTCGCTTTCTGATTGTGTGCATTTTGTCCACCATAGTAATAAATATCATCCAGAGATCGGTAATAGCCTGATGCATCTGGATGTAAAGTCTGCATAATTTCATATGCGATGCGACACACCTGTAATCAGACATAAAATTAATCAGGAACATGTGTTTAATAAAGGTGTATATGAGGTGGTTATGTTTACTGTCTATTGCATTTATAAAATAAATATGGTTCTTTTAAACAGATAGGCTTATTAAACATTATAAATGAAATATGAGCATCAGATATTTTCCATTAACAAATGAAAACGTCCCTGATGTACAAGCAAATTGAATTATCTAAAAAAAAAATAAATAAATAAAGATTTGCGCTATGCTACACTAGTCTGTCTCAAAAAAGAGTTTGTTTGATCTATAATCTAGATATAGAGATATGAGCAAACACACAAAACAATTTTCCCCCAAGAACTGAACAGGAGGGACCTCGGAGGAAGAAACCCGCCAGTGAATCATCAATACCTTTCTATTAATATCTCAAAGTGCAATTTACAGTTGACACACACACACACGAAGAACCAGGAGTTTCATTTGCCTTTCCCACTTGAATACTAAAAATAGTTTCATGGTAGAACAAACAACACCCCCCCCCCCCCAAATTTACCTGGGATGAGAAGGTGCAAACCAGGTAGTCTGTGAGCGATAAGAAGTGAATGTCTGCAATGATGCCCTTGAGTGACGCGTCCGTGTAGCGCGTTGCAACGGCCGCAGTTCGCGCGATGTTCGAGTCGCCGATGAACGTGTAGTCGGGGAACCTGGAAGGAGGCGTAGGGCATGTTGAAAAAAATATGCAGTTCCCTTCCTTTTTAATGTTATAATGCAGCTGTTATACAGATAGTAAGAGCAATAACAACGACAACAGTAACAACAATGGCAGTAATAATAATAGTATTAACAATAATAATATCAATAAAAAATAAATAATAACAAATAATAATAATAACAATAGCAATAATAATGATAATAGTAATAACACTGATAAAAAAAATTACAATAATAATAACAATAACAACAACAATAATAATAACAACACCATTAATAACAGCAACAGCAACACCAGCTCCCCCTCCAACCCACAACAAAGACACTGAAACAGATCCCAAAAGCAAAACAGAGCCCCACTCGAAGCACGTACTTCTTCTGGGCCTCGGTGATGACGGTGGGGTCGTCGGAGGCCAAGTACACCCTCTTGACGACGTCGGGCTGACGCAGACTCAGGGCCCGGTAGTACTCGCCCACGTGCTTCATGTACTCGTCTATGGAGTGGTAGGCGGCCTCCGTGCCCACCTTGTCCGTCCGCCGCACGTGCACTCTGCAAGGAAGGGGTAGGGTAACTCGCAAGGATTTTTTATGTCTGTCTGTGTCTGTGTCTGTCTCTGTCTTTGTCTCTTTCTCACTCTCTCTCTTTTCTTTTATTTTCTTTCTTTTTTGGTTGTGTATGGGCGTCATTGTAAAGTTGGCGGATATGAGTATGTTCAAGAATGTTTATGAAAGAGAGAGAGAGAGAGAGAGAGAGAGAGAGAGAGAGAGAGAGAGAGAGAGAGAGAGAGAGAGAGAGAGAGAGAGAGAGAGAGAGAGAGAGAGAGAGAGAGACAGAATATCTGCCTCATTAAAAAAAGATAAATACCCCACAAGCTTTAATTTGCTCCCAACATATCTAAGCCATCCCTCACCGCCGGACCCAAGACCCCCCCGCCCCCCACAAACCACCCAAACTCAACCCACGGCAAGCCAAGCCAAGGCAAGCCAAGGCAAGCCAACTCACCCCACAATCGGCTTCTGGAATCCCAGCGAATCGGACATGCTATCCAGCATCTCCTGTGTCTTGGGCTGCGGCTTGAGCATGTACTTGAGGAACTGTCCGACCCACCAAGCGGCCGGGTCCCCGTGCAGCCGCGTCAGGCGGTCCGAGATGTCCCTGGGAATGGCCAGCGGGAGGTAGGGCGGCCGCTGGGACAGCGTGTCGATGATCGGGAGGTCCACCACCTGCGTCTCGTTCGATCCTGAGGGAGGGGGGGAGGGGGCGGGTCAGTCAGGAAGATTCGGCTGGGGCACGGGCAGCGAGGCAAAGTTACTAGGGATAACCGCTTTGGTTTATTATCTCTGGTGAATGTGTGTAGTATGACATTTTGGGACGTTAATGTAAAAAGTAGGTAAATAATAGGGAAACGTATACGTTCCTTTATTTATATATACATACATAAATGAACACACACACACACACACACACACACACACACACACACACACACACACACACACACACACACACACACACACACACACACACACACACACACACACACGACCTCCCCCCTCTCTCTCTCTCGCACACACACACACCCATCCCCTCCCTCCTCCCTCCCCCTCCCCCCTCCGTCCCTCGCGTACCTGGCCAGTGCGAGTGCGTGTAGCCCGAGAGATCGGTGCAGGTTTCGCTGAGAGGCTGGAACACGTCCTCCCAGCCTGCCTTATTGTACCTCCAGCCGCGGGACTTGAGGATCAGCGTCCTCTTGGTGCCGTAGGCCACGATGAAGCAGTAGACCACGTGGTGGATCTGGCACCCGTAGCCGCAGCCCTGGGGGGGGGGGGGGAGAACGATTAAACTTTTGTATGGATTAGATGGGAGGGACGGAACGAAAACCGGAAGAATGTGGAAAGAAACAATTAGAATGATAAGAATAAGGAGGTAAAGAGAATTGAAATCATGAGACTTAACATGGAAAGAGACCATCAAAATCGTAGGGATTTACAAAAAAAAGTTACAACGAAAACCGAAATAATTAAGAAAAAAGCCATCAAAATTTTAAGATGATACGGAGGTGAGACCACAAGCACGAGCATGGAATCGCATCGCAAATAATAGTAAAAGAAAGGGAGAAGAAAGGACGGTGCCAATGGAAACGTACTTGAGCTAAAAGAAAAAGAGGAAGATTGATGTGTACAGGAAACCTTTCACTTAAAAAAAGAAATCGCCAGAGAAAATGTGAAGACTCAAGGTTTGAAACAGAAACACTGTTAATTAGCTGCAAATAAAGGACATATTTACCAAGTCATTACATAAAAAACGGCAAAAAAATAAATCAAATAATAATGAATAACGGAAAAGGGACAAAAATAAAGATTTCTTGCGATCGGAAAAGCCAAGCAATTGCCCTCGGAGAAAATTACCTTATTAAGGTTGCAGACCAATTTCCTGGCCTTGGCGCAATCCTTGGGATGTTGCAGCGCGTGCAATCTGCGTTGCATAAGGGCACTCAGGTCGGCCGCCTCCTGCTCGCGCCACGTCCCCAGTCCGTCCAGCTGGCTCAGGCGGAGGAGGTCGTACTGAAGGACCCTGGGGGAAAGGACAGGGCGTGAGTTGGGCGGGGTCAGGGGCACGAGGACGGGGTCAGGGGCACGAGGGAGGGCGTGGGCATGGGAGGGGCGGAGTCGAGGGCTCGAGGGAGGGCGTGGACATGGGAGGGGCGGAGTCGAGGGCACGAGGGAGGGCGAGAGGACAGGGCGTGAGGGGGCGGAGTCAAGGGGTCGCAGGAGGGCGTGGGGAATTCGCGCTGACTATCCTGACGCAAAAGGCAAAGCGGATCAGGGTCTGCTCTTCGCCAGTCGCGGAGGACTTTCGCGAAAGAAGGCGACCAAGAGCCATCGAGACACATGGAAGGAGGACGATGAAAGGAGGAAAAAAAATTATCTTCACAAAATTCATCCCATCTAAAGAAAATCAAATAGTTGATTAAGTAAAACTACCCCCTCCCCCTTAAAAAAAAAAACACCTGCAAACACCCACCTTAAAATTGAATACATAGATACACACACACACATACACATACACACACACACAAACACGAACACACACACACAAACACACACATTATATTAAAATGAATCATATCAAAATAAACCAAAACTTAATCATATCAAAACAAAAAACCAATTAACCTCCCCTCCAACTCCCTCCTTTCCCTTCCCCCCCCCCCAACCCCACCACGCAACGCACCTCACGTGGTCGACCCCCTCCTCCAGGACGCGGTCGATGTGCGCCGTGTGGTCCGCGAAGGCGTCCAGCTTCTTCCGGAGTTGCTGCAGCTGGTCCGACACGTACCACCAGCTCTCCTGCACGCCGCGCTCCACCAGGCGACGCGTCTTCTCGAACTCCAGCGAGGGCGTGAAGTCAGAGGTGCCTGCGGGGCCAAGGGGGACGTAGGAGGGAGGGAGGGAGGAGGCAGGGAGGCAGGTAGGAAGGGGGGTAGGGAGGGAGGAAGGGAGGTAGGAAGGGGGAAGGGAGGAGGCAGGGAGGAAGGAAGGAGGCAGGGAGGCAGGGAGGCAGGGAGGAAGGGAGGAGGCAGGGAGGAAGGGAGGAGGCAGGGAGGCAGGGAGAAAGGGAGAAAGGGAGGAGGCAGGGAGGAAGGGAAGAGAGAGAGAGAGAAAAAAAGAAATAAGTATACTGGAATATATTTAGCATCGTTTATTTTTGTTTTATATAAAGTGAAGTATATATTTCAGATATATGTATATATGTATTCGCACCAAACGTACCACCACCACTTCTAGGACAAAAGGAAAAGAAAACAAAAAAGAAAGAAAAAAACACACAACAATTCAGGCAAGAGTGAAGCAACAAGAGAAAATAAAAAAGTGGGCATTCGTGAAGAAAAAAAAAGAAAAAGAAAGTGTCTTTTTGAAATCTTTTTTTTTTATTTTTATTTCATTTCTCTCTTATTTTTTTAACCTGTCTTGTGGTCAGCAGTTGCATCAGCTTGTTGTAACATACGCTGAGCGTGGTCCAGCTTCCTCTGCAGCTCAGCCACCATGGCCGTGTTGGCGTGCGGCGGCGCCTCCCCGTTCAGCGAGCTCACTTGCCTGCGGGAGGGGGGGGGGGGCGTCAGGGGCGCAGCGGCGAGCGGAGGGGTGGTCAGGGTGATCGTGGGGATGGTAATGGCAAGGATGATGGGGATGGTGATGATGATGGTGATGATGATGGGGATGATGATGGTGATGGTGATGATAATTATGGTAATGGTAATGATGATGGTGATGATGGTGATGTCGATGATAGTGGAGATGATGGTAATGGTAAGGAAGGTGATGGTTTTGACTTTGATAATGATAATGGTGATGATAACACAAAACAACAGCAATAATAATCATCATAACCAGCAATACCAATAACTATAATTATCATCATCACAGTAACCAAAATTACCACCTTCATAACCACAAAACCTAATAATGATAAAAGCCAACATGAAAGGATAATAAAACCTAACAATGCATTAAAGTTAATTACCGCCTTTTACATTAAGTTCACTTCTTCCTTTAAAGTGTACCGCTGTAAGTTAAATAGATTAAATATCTTTTTTAAAGGTTGTGACTATCATTAACTCCCTCTTCACGCGTCTCCATTATTTAAACCCCTTCTATGCTGAGCGACTGTGCCGTTTTATGTTATATAAATTGACATTTTTATTACGATCACGACCATGGTTACCGCCCTTGCCGCAAACCGTGCGAATGCGATGATTGGGCCTAGACTTCGGATTAAGATGTCTGTAAGTTATTCATTAACCATAAAGATGTCTGCACGTCAGTTAAAATTTTGAAAATCAATTACTTTGTATCACAATTTTGTTTTAAATTCTTACATAATGATATGCAGGTAAAAATGAATTACAAAACGCCCATCCATGCCGAAGTCATGGCTCAAACGTCGCATTCGTACCGTTCACGGCAATGGCGGTCAGCCCTGCTTGCGACTAAGCACCGACTACCTACTGGCCCGTCTATATATCTGCACACCTAGATCCATATCCACCTATCAACTTGTCTAAGAAACGAAGAAACGATAAAACGATAAATAAATAATATGCATAAATAATCCCCCCTCCCCCCTCCCCCCCTCGGCCGGCGCGAGGTCCTTACTTGGTGAAGTCCTGCAGGACCTGTCTGATGTCGTCGTTCTGCTTCTTGAGGATGTCCAGCTCCTGCACCGCCCGCTGGAGGCGCTGCGCGAGGCGGGGGTCGCTGGCGCTCGGCGAAGGACTGGGCGGAGCGAACAGCGCCACGCCCACCAGCCACATGACGCCCACTGCGCCGCCCACTCGCCACGCCCACCCGCCCAGCCAACGCATCCTGTCAGACCTGTTGAGAGAAACACGGGATTACTTATCAGCGCAGGCCACGAGCAGACACGCTAAAACAAGCAACTGAGAAGGAAAACAGACACACAAGCACTCAAATGCACAGCCGAGCCGCCGGAGCGTAAACAGATGTCACGTCGCTTTCAATACCACGCATCGCGGACGAGACCTGGTGAAGGTTTACGTCTCGATGTCTTTTACTTGTGAAACACATCTCTATCTCTTTCTCTCTCTCTCTCTCTCTCTCTCTCCCTCTTTTCTCTCTCTCTCTCTCTCTCTCTCTCTCTCTCTCTCTCTCTCTCTCTCTCTCTCTCTCTCTCTCTCTCTCTATATATATATATATATATATATATATATTATATATTTATATATATATATATATATATATATATATATATATAAATATATATATATAATATATATATATATATATATATATATATATATATATATATATATATATATATATATATATACACATATATACCCAAAGACAGATAAATGCAATAATAGGCCTACACGAAACAAGAAAAAACAAAAACAAACAAACAAACGAACAGACAAAAGAAAAACGAAGCAACCAAATATTTTTTTTAATCTCAAAAACAAATAAATCCATAAATCTCAACAGCAAACATATCAACGAAGAAAAAAGAGAAGAAAAAACTAATCAACAAATAAAAAAAAAAACTAATACTAACACCAATGAAATAATATTCAAAAAAAGGCTAAAAATAACCTTTGCGAAGCACGTTGCAGTCGCCAGCCCCACGAGCCCCGAGGAACGCCCATTAACACGAATAGAAATCCTGGTGATAAAGTCAGCCTGGCCCTTGCGTAACGCGGCGGGGGTGACACTCGCCCTCGCCCTCCCCACGCCTCCCCCCTCGCTCTCGCTCTCTCTCTCTCTTCTTTCTTCTCCATATCCTTCTTCCATATTCTCCTCCTCCTCTCTTCTTCTTCCCT